TTACAAGTTCTCAAACAGGATGGGGTGGGGGTGACCCCAGGGGACTCGCCTTATATATCATTTGATTTGTTTTATTGTCCCATACAAGAATATATATGGTTTCAGGGGGGGGGATCTTGACCGTTTACAAGTTTTCAAAAAGAAGGGGGGTGGGGGAGATAAAACTCAAATTTATTTCCATGAACCAGTAACAAAACACCAAAATAATTCTCTAAAATTAGATATGATTTTATATCTATCAATTAAACATCACTTTTCAAAACAAATAACTCAAACTTATTTCCATAAACCAGTAAAAAACCAGCAAAATACTTCTCTAAAATCAGATATATCATGTTATATCTATTTCCATATTATAATCAAATTTGATTAATAGTTGCTAATATTGTTTCTTTCATGTGTCAAAAAATAATACAGATCTGCAACTTATCTATCAATTTCAAAAATTTTATCTCATAATAAAAAAATAGATTATTATCTAATTAAAAACAAGTTCAGATTCAGCACTTGAAAGAACCCTATATATATTTAATTTAGGTTCAAATATAACACACACAAACTGATTAATTTTCCCAGGGGACCTGCCCTTTATTTCATATGATTTGTTTTTTTTTGTCCCATACAAGGATATATATGGTTTAGGGGCGGGGATCTCGACCATTTACAAGTTCTGAAACAGGAATTCGTAGAAGGTGGGAATAACCCCAAGGAACTCACCTTTTATTTCATTTCATTTGTTTTATTGTAACATACAAGAATATATATGGTTTCACGGTGGGGATCTTGACCGTTTACAAGTTTTCAAAAAAAAGGAGAGTAGAGGTTACCCCAGGGGACTTCCCCTAAATTTAATTTGCTTTATTTTATTGTCCCATACAAGAATATATATGGTTAAGGGGTGGGGATCTTAACCGTTTACAAGTTTTCAAAAAGAAGGGGTAGTGTTTACCCCATATATTTCATATTATATTGATTTGATATATTGTCCCATACAAGAATATATATGGTTTAGGGGTGGGGATCTCAACCGTTTGCAAGTTTTCAAAAAGAAGGGGTTGGGATTTACCCCCCGTGGGATTTACCCCCCTCATTTGATTTGATATATTGTCCCATACAAGAATATATATGGTTTAAGGGTGGGGATCTCTACTGTTTATAAGTTCTTAAACAGAAAGAAGGTGGGGATGACCCCAGGGGACTTAGACTTTTATTTCATTTGATTTGTTTTATTGTAACATACAAGAATATATATGGTTTCAGGGTGGGGATCTTGACTGTTTACAAGTTTTCAAAAAAAAAGGGGTGGGGGTTACCCCAGGAGACTTCCCCTAAATTTCAATTGATTTGTTTTATTGTCCCATACAAGAATATATATGGTTTAGGGGTGGGGATCTCAACCGTTTACAAGTTTTCAAAAAGAAGGGGTGGGGGTTTACCACCGTGGACTTCCGTTAAATTTCATTTGATTTGTTTTATTGTCCCATACAAGAATATATATGGTTTAGGGGTGGGGATCTCAACCGTTTACAAGTTTTCAAAAAGAAGGGGTTGGGATTTACCCCCCGTGGGATTTACCCCCCTCATTTGATTTGATATATTGTCCCATACAAGAATATATATATGGTTTCTGGATGGGAATCTTGATTGTTTACAAGCTATAAAAAAGAAGGGGGTGGGGGTTACCCCAATGGACTTCCCCGATATTACATTTGATTTGTTTTATTGTCCCATACAAGAATATATATGGTTTAGGGGTGAGGGATCTTAACAGTTTACAAGTTCATAAACAGGAAAAAGGTGGGGTGACCCCAGGGGACTCGACTTTTATTTCATTTGATTTGTTTTATTGTAATATACAAGAAGAAAAATGGTTTCAGGGTGGGGATCTTGACTGTTTACAAGTTTTCAAAAAGAAGGGGTGGGGTTTACCCTCGTGGACTTCCCCTAAATTTTATTTGATTTGTTTTATTGTCAAATACAAGAATAAATATGGTTTAGGGGTGGGGATCTCAACCGTTTACAATTTCTTAAACAGAAGGGACTGGGGGGTTACCACAATGGACTTCCCCTATATTTCATTTGATTTCTTTTATTGTCCCATACAAGAATATATATAGTTTAGGAGTAGGGATCTCAACCATTTACAAGATAAAAGCACATTATCAAATTGAAGGGGGGTAAGGGTAAGAATATATATGATTAACCAACACTTAATTATCTACAAAATGTCTAATAATGAACAGTAAATTCCAAACTTCATTTATACAGTAATACTAGTAAGTTTCAAACTGTATATATACAGTCCTACAGATCTTATCAGAAAACAGAAAATTTTCAAATAAATCTGTCACTCCAATGATTATCATTTGCTAAAATATTTCCGAGATCTAATTAATAATGAAAATAAATCATGATCATATGCTGGAATATTTATAATATCTAATTGAACAGAACTATGGTTGTTTAACATAGTACTCTAACATAATTAATAATGTAATAATCTTCAAAATGTCTAATGATATAGCTTATAATCATTACCACTTAGGAAATAGATAATTTTCAAATAAATCTGTCACTCCAATTTTTATTCTGAGATAAGACAAATCATAACATAATAACAACAGTAAAATATTTAAAAATTCTACTTTTGGATATTAAAAATGGCGATAACTCACAAAGGAGATATACTAAAATCTTGAAAATTAATAGAGACCTTCATTAAGTCCCAGGTAACAACATATTTAAATTTGAAAAAAATTTGTTAAAGCGTTTTCATGTTATTGTGCGGACACTGTTTGGCAGCCGCCAAACCGCCCAGCCGCCCGCCGTATATCACCATTTTAATAACCGATATTTCCTTCGAAAATCCAGTTAAAAATCATATTTTAGATTTTTTATATATCTCGTAGCTAGTGCCCCTCTAACATTGACCAATGAACCATGAAAATGAGGTCAAGGTCAGATGATACCTGCCAGACAGACATATTCACCTTACAATCCTTCCATACAACAATTAAATATGGTTGATCTATTGCTTATAGTTGAAGAAAAACAGACCAAAACACAAAAATTAAACACTGAGAAATGAACCGTGAAAATGAGGTCAAGGTCAAATAAAACCTGCGAGACTGACATGTACATCATAAAATATTTCCATACACCAAATATAGTTGACCTATTGCATATAGTATTAGAAAAAAAGACCAAAACTCAAAAACTTAACTTTGACCACTGAACCATGAAAATGAGGTCAAGGTCAGATGACACCTACCAGTTGGACATGTACACCTTACAATCATTCCATATACCAAATATAGTAGACCTACTGCTTATAGTATCTGATATATGGACTTGACCACGAAAACTTAACCTTGTTCACTGATCCATGAAATGAGGTCGAGGTCAAATGAAAATTGTCTGAAGGGCATGAGGACCTTGCAAGGTACGCACATACTAAATATAGTTATCCTATTACTAATAATAAGAAAGAAATTAACATTACAAAAAATGTTGACTGAATCATGAAAATGAGGTCAAGGACAATGGACATATGACAGGCGGAAACTTCGTAACATAAGGCATCTATATACAAAGTATGAAGCATCCAGGTCTTCTAGCTTCTAAAATATAAAGCTTTTAAGAAGTAAGCTAACGCCGCCCCTCGCCGGATCACTATCCCTATGTCGAGCTTTCTGCGACAAAAGTCGCAGGCTCGAAAAAAAACTGCAAAATTTCCATAAAATTACCTATTTAGTGGCAGCAACCCAACAATGGGTTGTTTGGTGCGTCTGAAAATTTCAGGGCTAATAGATCTTGAACTATTGAACATTTTTACCCCATCAGATTTGCTCTAAATCTTTAGGTTTTTGAGATATAAGCCAAAAACTGCATTTGACCCCTATGTTCTATTTTTAGCCATGGTGGCCATGTTTGTTGATAGATCAAAACTTTGGATACAAATTATAAACTAGATACCCTAAGGAACATTCAGTTAAAATTTGAATGTATTAGGCCCATTAGTTTTAGAGGAGAAGATTCTTGAAATAGCTTACGACGACGACAGATGACGACAGACGCCAAGTGATGGCACAAGCTCACATGGCCCTTTGGGCCAGGTGAGCTAAAAACAATATATCAGGGGCAATACCTCGAAGACAGGTGGATACGTTTTTCCAAATTTTTCAGGGTAGATAGAACTTGGTGTGCTGATCATTTCTACCATGTAATTTTATCTCTAATTGCTATAGTTTTTAGAGATATTAGCTGTACTAGACTATATGTTCTATTTTTAGACATAACCCATGTTGGTTGATCAACCAGGGCAAAAATCACAAACTTTATAATTGAAATCCTACAGATGAAGCAGACAAACTTTTATTTCATTCCATTGAGCAGTTTTAGAGGAGAAAATTTTTAAAGAAAAGTTTAAGTAAAATGAATGCAAAGTGCTAACAAAAGCTCAAGTGGCCCTTCTGATCAGGTGAGGTAAAAACAGCTTAAACTTGTTAAACCCTATCCTATTTTGGGCCTATACCAAGCCAGGCTATCTAGATCATGTGTTAATCATTGTTTGTCTTGTTTGTAGATCTGTTTTTTTTTTTAACGAATAGAAAATGGAATGTGTGGGAAGCAAGGGCTTCAGCTAGGATATACACACTAACAATTGCATAAATCTAACGTTTACAGTTGAAGCGTGATAACCAGACAGAAGCACATTATCTGTCTTGCAGTCAATAATTCACTATGTTACATAACAAAAACATTTCAGGTGATACATTCACATGTCAGGGCCATTAAGTTTCTTATTAAGTTCACACTTATGAAGCTGGCTTTTACAATTTACCCTAATGTATCAAATAAATATTCTCATGTTGCCCCTTGTGGGCCCATTAATTGGGAATAAAATATATTCCATTTAATTCTATTCTTTATTATTGGGTTTTCGTTCTTTGTTTATTCTACCACATAACTTTTATTTTTCAAATAATAACAACAATTCATTATCTATTATTTACAATTTAATAATTAATTCAACAACTGCTGTTCATTTTGCATTTCTTTCACACATTATAGATCTTCTATACTTGGTAAATTATTGCACATTTTAACAAATGTCTCCTCTAAAAGCATATATCTATAAAATATTCATATAACATTTAAACAAATGATTCTTTCAACAATAGCAGCTTAAAAGGGCTGATATTTAACATGAAATATGTGTTTTCGTCATAAAAAAAACATTTAATTCAATTTAAAAACAGTTACGCACATCACACTTTAACTAAGTACTATCAAACTTACAAACTATGCTCAATAAGCTAATTACAAAATCCTGGTAATTAATATTCATAATTTGTTTTTGATCTTATCTTACAATTCTAGGCCAACTGAATTAAATCATCCTTTTTTCAATCTACTGTCATTTTACATTTTACAATGGTTATGAAAGGGGCACAATGAAAAGAGACAGATAGATTGTTACAAATAAAAGTGCAGAAAAATAAAGAGGTCTATAAATTTTCATTTCTTATTTTTACTGAACCAAAAATAACCCTTTGAAAATTTCTTGCTTCTGGTCTGCAGCACTTTCTGGATTTATCTCCATCAGAAACACTCAAATAGCATGCATTTTCAAAAGTGTACACAAAAGTGTACATAAAAGTGTACACAAAAGTGTTGTGATCTAACAATGAAAATTCAACCAATGAAATTACCTATAAAAAGTCTTCAAGATTCTAAAACAGTGAATTTTTGTTCCTTTCAACCTTTTCAAATAATGATTTTATACAATCAGTTCTTTTCACCTATTTTTTAATAAATATTCTTATGCAGTTAAAGTTGTACATCCAAAATTGCTAATAACAGTCACAGATTTATACTTTACAACATCGTGACTCCCAAATTACAGAAATCTGGACATAATATTCGTAATGATTAATTTTTTGGGAAAAATCAATCTTTTAAAAAAGATTTATATTTCATATCTGCATTACAGAGTATGCTTCTTAATCTACAGAAAAGCCAAACCAATCACATTTCTGTTCTTTTTAATTTCAAAAAGTGTAAAATAGGATCTAGCATGTATAAAATTTAATGAATTTAATCCAAATTTCTAAATTATTTCATTGAAGTAACAAACAAAATATGATATAGCATTTGTATCTTTAAAAGAACTTTTACTATTCAGCTATAAAAAGAATCTAAGTTTATCTTAATTACAGGGGCAACAGGACATTCTTTTTTGGATTAAATTTGTGTTTCATAATTTTTGTCAGCCTATCGCAAGAGCAAAATTCATTTAAGTGTGGCCATACTATTTTCTATTTGAAAGGTGTTCGGACTTAGAGAATAAAAATGTAATTTAATGGCTACTCACTTGAGGAATAACGATTAGATCAATTAAGTAACATTAAAATTCATTTCACTTGCATGCATAAAAATGTTTTTTTAAATAAAAAATACTGACCATCATTTTGAAATTGTCATAAAATGAGAGAGTGGCAGTAAGAATATTTTCTTGTATAAAACATGCATGAAAATGTTTAATTCATAACACCCAAGTGCTAATTTTAGACCAATGTTACGAAACAAGAATTTAAAAAAATGCATTACATCATTATTTATTATCAGACAAAAAAAAAAGCAACATAATTTTGTATATGTATTTCCATGCAATCAAAATGTACATAAATCATGTTCAACATAATACAATCTGATAATAGCTTTTTGAAAGCTTGTCAATAAATTATTTATTCATAATCAAAATGAGTTTTTAATTCCAGGATAATGTCATAACAGCCAGAAATACACGTGATATGCATTTTGAAGCTGGTTTTGTTTATGTTCTAAATGAAATTAATTTCTAAGTGATGAGAAATGTACTAGCTTTGTAATCTTTCAAAGATTATTATTCTCCAACTCATAACAAGTTTGTAATGCAACATATATAACACCAACACAGTTGGCAATGTTTTGAAAATACAGGATTCTCAAAGGTTCCTTTAGAAGTTGATAACTCAGAACTCAACAATAAATGCTTCCCTCTTTGAAGTAAAGCAAGTTCCACTGTAAATCAGTTTCCATCTTCAATGGACTCCTAATGTCATCTTCTGGGAAAAAAGAGAAATGTTGATTTACAAAGGTATATGTTTTAACTCAGAAATATCTATCATTTAAGTTTCTTAAATAAGAACAGAAGGAAAGATTTTTATTCACAATTAAAATCCATATTTCACCACAGTTGTTATTCTATCTTAAATATAGCTATATCTGAAATTGACCCCGATTTTGTGGTTCACTGAACATGGAAAAGTGAAAGTGTGAGAGCTGCATGGTGTCCTATGGTCATATATTGTTGTTATAAATCTTTCTTTTTTCTTTCGAAAGATACTTTTTACAGTTTCTTTTGATAATTGTTCTGTAAGTAAGTTACTATTCTGATTTTAATGTGACATCACCAAATTAGACTTATCACCAAATTTGTAATTTCATGAGCAAAATGAAGGGTGCCACATACGAAGCAGGATCTGCTTAACTATAAGAGCACCAGAGATCCTCCCCAGTTTTTGGTGGGGTTTGTGTTGCTCAGTCTTTAGTTTTCTATGATGTGTTTTGTGTACTGTTGTTTGCCTTTTGGTTGTTTTTCATTTTTTGCCATGGCATTGTCAGTTTGTTTTCAACTATTGAGTTTGAATATCCCTTTTGTATCTTTAGTCCCTCTTTTAAATGCAACCATTAATTCTTATAAAACTATTTTTTATTACTTAGAAGTAGAAGATATAAATCTTGACTTTGAAATATTATAAGGAAACAAAGGCAGCCAGTAGCAGTCATTCAGCTTATCTTTGTTTTCCTCCTGGAAACATTAACTCCAGACGGACTTGTACACCTTATGATTCTATAGACCAAATATATCTGACTCATAGTAAGTGGAGAAACACAACACTTGTGTACCACACAAAGTAAAGTTGTGTACAGAACTTCAATACAGAAAAGGAAAAAACAAAGAAACATTTCAAATTTTAAACTCCATATAAGTAACTAATATTGAACCCCCTCCAAATATTCTTATTCATAATTCAAGATTTGATGAAAAATCCAAGTTAAAAAAAATTGTCTACCGTAAATTTCCAAATTACCTTCTTTGTTGTATCTGTCTAATCTGTTGTACCTGTTTACTCAGATTTTGTCGTAACAGTTTAAGACTCTCCTGAAAAATAAAATAATTTCAAATTTCATTAACTTAATTAATTTGCCTTTACAATATCAATTGTTGTCAACTTTTTATCATTATAGATTACAGTTATTTTCCCTTTTTCTATACTTTGCAAGCTGTATAGCAGGAGATGCATATAGTATTCAGTTTTTCTGTTCATCTGAACTATGATCTTCAATCGAAACTGTGTGTCTTTTTTTCAGAAGTCATATATATATATGATAGTTTTTAGTTTTGTGAAAGTGAGGACACCAGGTTTCATATGTATTGCAAATATCAATTGTATTTGTACTATATCAACTAATTTATCTTTTTGAAATTCTATATTTCCATTTTTTTTTACAACTCATTGAATTATTGCTTATTCATATTCAGGTATATAATAGCTGTATAGGACAAATATTCTTTATTTCAAGTTTACATAAAAAGATTTAAATCAGTTATGAAGTAAAAACGTGTCATATTCATGAATATCAAATAGTAATTAAGTAATCAATAACTTAATATTTTCTATTTATGAATACAGAAAAAGAGACCACAAACAAAAATCGGTGAGAAACATATTTCAGGTCAATCAATCTGGTTCATTCAAGAAATGAAACTAGACGAATCAATTACAAAACAAAACTGGACTTAATCAATGGAAGACATTACAAAAATATGTCACCTTCTTAAAGACTGCTAACATGAAATTATAGAATAAACAAGTTAACACCATAGAGCAGTTAAGTGAAATATAAAACCAAAATAACACAGCCTTGTAACTAATCAATACCATGATCCTTCATCAAAGATGGCAGCACCTTGTTATCTTTTAATTATTTTACAGACGACTTAGGTCATGGACAAACATGGTCAATGGACCAACAACAAATGTCCGACCAAACATCTTTATCAGCCAAATCTCAACCTTCCTACGAGAGCATATCATAAAAAATATCGAATATGTGCTATATCAACATTAGTAATTTGAATATCATTGATTAGTTGTAAATCAAGGAAAATAATTTGCATAATAAGACCATTTTTGAATGATTTTTGTCTATATATATTGATATTGCGATATGGTATAATTTGATAAACTTAGCAGGAATTCACTGACACATCTGCCTCCTCTCTGAAAAATTCTATGCCTCATAAATCAGAAGCTGTTCACCTTGTCAGCACATTTTTATCACATTTATCAAAACATTTATATACATACAAAGTACTTCTGACCTAAGTATTGGCTTAATGTCATATCATACAGACCGTTCATCAATTTCTGCAACAGTAATTAATGCCTTTCAATTTTTGGGAGAAAAAAAAAAAGCTGAGAAAAAACTGTTTTTTTTCTAATATAAAAGCAGATCAAAAATTAGTTTACATATGGAAATATTACCTTTCATCTATATGCATTAACAAAACATTATTGCATTAGATATAAACTAGTGTAAATTAAAATGGTTTGTAATTTGAAAGTTCAAATAAATGGTTTGAGACTTAAGTCTCTGGTATATTTAGGGAGTATCTATTCAATTGCAATATCGACTGATTTCTACAATTAAGCAGAACTATGGAAAACTCGTCTCCACAGAAAAAGAATGTTCACAAACAAAGAGTTACAAATCTTTAATGTATATACAAACTTTCTGAAATGTTTGAAAGCTACTGGGTTTAAAAATGTAAGAGGAGTTGTTCACACAAAAGAGGTAGCCTTCATCAAATATATTGCTCAAAATTGACTATGGTTTACAATCTAGACAAGAAGACACTAAATAAATTAATATCTTGAGATTCTAAAATATAGCCAGATAGCCTTAATCCAAAATTTGTACATGTTCTTTAGCAATTAATAAGTTATTTATATTCTATTATTCCCACAATCCTCCAAGGTTTCATGTCGTCTGCTATATTCCATTACCAACAGACAAATTTGTTTTTCCTTGTTTGTGCTCAGACTAGGTGATACAATATAAAAACAGATGTCTCTCAAGTCTCCTACGGTTTTCCATTAAAAATGTTGCCAAAAGGGTCGTCTTTGTTTTCAGTCTTTGTTTTCCGTGATAATATCATGTATCCCAGGAAATCAAAGAAAAACATCTACTTTGATACAATTGATCTTCAATTACTAATACCATGCAATACTTTTCTGTCTTTTACTTTATTTTTTAATAGTACCAAAGAGAAGGTGGCCCAATGGCATAAAATAACCCAAATTGAAAATAGGTTTATATGATAGACTGAAACTGTCAAGTGGAATCTAAGTTTTATTCTATTAACTGGCAATAAGACTAAGTTCAGTAAGTGTTATTTGATAATTATTGTTATATTATTATTTGAAGAATAACCCTTGGTAAAGGGAGACAACTTTTTACACCAGTTATATGTTTTGTGAAAGTCAGTGTCATCAATGCTCTTTTAAGCATTCATGTGAAACTGAACTAAAATCAAAGAACCTTTGAAAGCATGCTTACATACCCGTCGCCCCCATATTTTCACTGGGCAAACAAAACCTCAACAGATTTGTAAGTTCAAATACTCATTACTCCAACAAAAGGCAACTGATAAAAATTTCTTGTAAATATGCACATCTACATATTATATCCTCATTAACTACAAAGTTTCATGAAATTCTGTTGTGCTGTCTCAGAGGAGTTGCGATGACAAACTGTTGCAGTAGTATACTTAAGCAAAAATTCTAAGTTCATAAGGGCATAACTCCTAGAAAAATAATTGAATCATAATTTCCTGTAGATATGCACATCTTCATAGTATGTCCTTATTTTTCTAAAAAGTTTAATGCAATTCTGTAGTGCAATTTCAGAGGAGTTGTGATGACAAGAACAGGACTGACGAACAGACAGACCGACAAAGTGACGGGCCAAAAACATTATACCCTATGCAAATACTAATGAAAATAGTTGAAAAAAACATTCTACTGATTTTGAAGAGTTATGTCCTTAACCTAGATACTTACATTCTCCTCAATTAACTGATTGTATTCATCATATAATCTGGTACTACTTTGATGATTCTGTTCATCTATCTCAAATTCTTTCAATAAATCATTTCTGTAATGACAAAAGGATATATTAACATTTACCTATGAACTTTACTTTTTTTGGTAAAAAAAAAGACTTCATGCACAATATTCCTCAAATAGGGGTCAAAACTTGAAAGGTATGGAATCGATTGTCAAATATCAGTTTGTCAAATCCGTAAATTGGTCTATGGGATGTCTTGATGCTGGGTGGAGGTCCGAACATTTTATGTGCTAAGCCATAAGTCTGTTTAACCTGCACAATATTACCAATAATGGTTTCTTAATCTGAAATCATGCAAAGAAGCTAAACAGTTTAGAAGAACTTACATAGACATTAGAACAGCTTAAACAAAAGTACAATCAACACTTACACTCTCAACATTTAATAACTATTGACTGAAGGCACCTGAACATTTAGAAACTCATAAACTATCCTCATTAGTGTTATTATAAGGTCATTCCTCTACTCATCACACAAATTAATATTAGATTTTTTAACCATTTGACCTGCATGAATGTATAACCTTCCTCACAATAACTACAGTTAATGACTTCCAAAAATTTCATGAATCTTGGATTCATTTGGAATCTCATTAGCACACATCAACAGTAGGAACTATTTACTAGTAGTTAATTATAAGAGTGTTGCAAAAAAAAATTTATGGCTAAGTGCATAACAATATTTCCAATTGACCGTGGCTGTTTGAATGAAAACTGACAACAACAGGTCAAAGTTCAAAAGAAATTAAAGTGGGTAGACAGCTTATTGTAAAATGTTAAAAAGTTCAAGGTCAAATTCAAATTGATTTGACAACAGGTCAAAGTTCAAAAGAAATTAAAATGGGCAGACAGCTTATTGTAAAATGTTAAAAAGTTCAAATTAAACTGACCAGTGGCAAGAAAATTAAAATGTTAAAAAGTTCAAGGTCAAATTCAAATTAAACTGACCAGTGGCAAGAAAATTAAAGTCGGTTATGTATACATAGAGTTCAGTGATATTGACAACTTATTAAGAATGCAGGTACAAATGTAGTTTAACAGATAAAAAAATTGAAAAGATTAGTCTTGGCAAATAAATGTCTGAAACTTTGCAATGAAGCAAAATGATTTCAGGAGAATTCATTAAAAATTTGACCTTTTTTTTACTATCTAGATAGTCAGTAAATAAGAAAAGAACTGAAGTCTTGATCAAATTTAACTGTTTTTGGCTGGGTTAATTAGCATGTAATATTTTCGTGATTGCTGATAGATCTAACGAATTAGCATTTAAGTGATATTGATAAAACTTAGAACTTTTCAATCTTTTTCTATCGACATTCATACATAGCGGAAAATGAATTTATCACTGCTGCCTGCTGTATAAACAGTGTGGATCTATGGAGATTAAAATTTGATTGTTACCGAAATACGACTAATTTCTGGATGTTTATTACATTTACGTCAATGTCTCAGCACATTTTCTCAGTAATTGACAACTACATTGCTATATTTGAACATTTTGTGGATTTTTTAGTTGTCTGTTTCAGCTTGGTTATCAAATTGCTGACATGTCACCATGTTTTTTTTCTAATTTAATGGTATGATATGCTTCTCAGTCTGTATTATATGTCTTGTTTTTCACCAAAAGTAGCACATGTGGTCAAATTTATTGCAAAAAATTAAAAAAATATTAAGTCACTGCCAATTTTGTACAGAAATAAAGTAACTCCCTTATTTGCCTTCCGTTGTCTTGCTTGATATGATTAAACTTTGAACTTGTAAATTTTACACATTTTTGTGAATGCAGAAAAATAGCTGTGAAAAAAATATGAAAATTGTTAATAAAGTTCCATCATTTTCCAAAAGTTAAAAACCAAAATTGGTATGATTGTTAAGAAATTATGGAGTGCATGTCTGAAAAAGAACTCATTCATAAATGATAGTGTTAAAATCAAAAATCAAAACTCAAAACTCAAAAACTCAAAACTCAGATCTCAAAACTTGAAAAATGAGAAATATTTACTTTCTCATTATCCAATTATGACAGAAGATGATCACATATACACAATAAAACAAGCATTCTGAGAGTATTGCATAGCATATATATATATCAAGTCAATATCTTCAAGCATGACGAAAAAAAGTGCGGAAAACTGAATATTTGAGTGAATTTTCCAAATCCAAGGACCATCACTCTGCACAAAATTATCAGACCGGAACAAAATTCGAACTTGATCTGTAACTTGTCATGATAAAACAATATACCAAATATCAAATCAATATCTTCAAGAATGAAGTAAAAAAGTGTGGAAAACTGATTTGCCGGACTGACAGAAGGACAGACAGACGGACAGAGTGCAAACCTAAAGTCCCCTTCGACTTCGTCGGTAGGGGACTAATAAAGCTAAAAAACAGTCTTAACTAGTTTTTAAATGTAAAAATAAGAAGATGTGGTATGATTGCAAGTGAGACAACTCTCCATCTGAGACCAAATAATGTAGAAGTAAACAACTATAGGTCACCTTCAACAATGAGCAAAACCCATTGCCGCATAGGAAGCCGAATTTCTAGTCTTAACAAGTTTTAAAACACAATTCCTAGTATAAATAATTTTCTAACAAACACTTCGTTCCGTTGATCATAGGGGAAATGTCTTTAACCTATAATCTGCTTCAGTGCACTATTATGTTTTGTTTTGTCTCCCAAGAGTTATAATCTTCATCATGACAAAGAATTTTACACTGTAATTGCATGCCAAAACCCCATAACCCTTGTGCACCAATATCATCAAGTGTTAAATAACATGCTGCAAGGTTTCCAATCAATCAGTGGTGCATATGTAATTAATAAATTACTGACACTTGATATAACTCGTGCAGTTTGGGAATTTTTTCTCAATCTTGAATTTCATCGTATAATTTTTCCATATATCTTATTCTTTTTCCTCTGAGAAATTATCCTTGAGGACAATATTAAATAACAATAACTTTAATTCAATTTGTTTTGCTATGTTATACAATTCATGTACTTTTGTACGTGGAAATAAAATGTGCATGAGTCACAGTCAGACTCAACATGATTTAACTAGAAATAACAAAGTCATGTATCTACAAGATTGAAGTAAAATTATCTTTCCGTTATAGATCACAGACCACATTTTTTATTTATACATATTTAGATAATGTATGGTGTGTATTCTTAAAAAAATAAAAAAACATTTAATGACTATAAAAGAATAAAATTAATTCAAATATTAAACCCCCCTCCCAAAAATGAGTTTACAAGGGACATACACATCCCAATGAACAAGCGAATTTCCAATGAAGACTGACAATAAATCGTTCAAAGGATAAACTTTAATGAAGTGAAAATAGTGCATGGCAAACTGCAAGATCTTATCAATTCTCAACAACTTTTTTTTTGTAAGCAAATTACATCTGTTGTCGATAAATTTTCAAATCTTAAGTTGTTCAGAGAACTGTAAAATTGTCCAATCTAAGTGCCAAGGATACAGTAAAACACTTTTACTCCCCAGGAATAATTGTAATAAGTTATTTCCACTAAATCATAAATGGTTGTTTCAGTAAATAAGATAATATTTTTCCATCCGTTATTATATATATATCTGTCATTAGTGTTTGCTGGATGAATAACTAACAATGACTTTGACCTTGGTCGTGGTAGAAAGGTCACTACAGCCATCATAAATCTATTTGATACTGGTATTTCATGAGTTTTTACAATAGATTTATGTGATGGTAACTGACTGGTCCATAATTGCAACACAGATAACATTAATGGAATTGTAACTAATAGATCTGATTCATAAGATTCATGTCTTATTGCCTTAAAAATTTTCAATTCAGCAACTCCTGACAATTTAAGTTATTTTTTTAGGAAAGAAAATTTACTTTTAATTTAAGACCTTTATAGAATGAAAGAAATTATTTCTAAGCAAATATTGGGGGTCAAATTTATCCAGAAAATAAATTGTTTTATCTATTGCAGAAAAGCAAATTCAAGACACTGCATAATACCTTATCAGATGAAACTTTGTTCATGAATCAATGATTTCTTAGCTAGCTGGAGCCAGAGGTTTGTTTATCTAGTTTATTTTTGGGCATTTTACAAATTTTTCATTTGGGAAGCAAATTTTGTAGAAAAGTTGGGAATTTTGGGAATTCTGCATTCTCACTGACAGTAGGTCTCTTTACCAGACCCTGAAGAACAAAATCTAAACTGAACTTTTCATTCTTGACTGCAAAATTCAAATATAATTCTAAGATCAATTATCAATCTAGGGGGGGGGGGGGGGGGGGCTAGGATGAAATTTGAAAACAGTAGGCAGGACAGGAGTTTTGAGTAAAAAAAAAAAGGCAGGATGAGACACTTTGCAAAAAAAAAAAAAGTTAGGATAAACTAAAAAAAAAAGAAAAAAAAAAGGCAGGACCGAATAGAGTGAAAGATAACAACTTAAAAAAAATGCAGGACAAAATTTTTCATCCTAGCACCCCCCCCCCCCCCCCCCCATAAAAATCAAATGGCAGCTCCCTAAGTGACAAAAGTGACAACACCATGTCAAAAAACAAAAACAACCCAGAGACTAACAAGAGTCTACAAAACACAACATAGAAAACTAAAGACTAAGGAACACAAACCCCACCAAAAAGCAGGGGGTGACACAAACAAAGATATGTTGAAACAATTCAACTACTTGGTAACTGCAATATGTGTATTTTTGGTAAACAAGTGTTGTTCAGTTGCTGTCTCATTGATATTTATCTAACATTCAGTGTTTCTTTATTCTACATTGGCTAGAGGTATAGGGGGAGGGTTGGGATCTCACAAAACATGTTTAACTCCGCCGCATTTTTGCGCCTGTCCCAAGTCAGGAGCCTCTGGCCTTTGTTAGTCTTGTATGTTTTTTAATTTTAGTTCATTTATATGTTTTGGAGTTTAGTGTGACGTCCATTTTTTTCACTGAACTAGTACACAATTTTATTTAGGAGCCAGCTGAGGACCACCTCAGGGTACGGGATTTCTCGCTGC